AACCAGCCCGGGAGTGAGAGTATAAACTCTGATCTTATCGCCGCCGATGCTATCTCTACGGCAGGTTTTTCTTCAGGAACTTGTCACAATGTTTTCTTTCCAGTAGTTTAGACAAATATACACGGAACTTAAATTTATCAAACAGATGAAACCTCATTAATTAAACAGGCCTTCTGAGCTACAGCGGATTAGGATATTTTCTATATTTTTTTTTTTGTCCGAGGGGCATTTTCTCCAGCAGCTCCAGTCACCGCTATCAAGGTGCAGTAGCTTAAGCAGAGGGTGGGGCAGGGAGGCGTTCATGCTTCAAGCAAGCTGCCTTGTAAGCCCAGTTGTGTTTTAAAATAAAAATATTCATATTTTCTAGCCCCCTCCCCATATTCACAAGAGATATTACAAAACGTCTTTTTTTTTTTTTTTAAGACATCCAGCTAAAGTAGCGTCACAAGTAGAATATAAAAGGTGTAGCCTATATTTCACATAACCAACTCCTTTTATAGGAACCCAAATAAAATCTCTCAGAGAATTAAAGATACAGTCCAATCAAACCAGATTGCCTGCTCACAGTTCAGAAAACTACCAGTACCAAATACTCGAAAACAGGAGAAAAGAAAGCAAGCTGAATATATGTTGCATGTCAGTTTCCCCATAAAACATGTAACAGGAATGGTAATTATTAGTAACTGTACTCAAACATCTATGTGCTAAACACAGAAAAGAAAAATGCAGAATAATGCAAATCTGTAAGACTTTTCTCATGCTAATGCAATACAGAGCAGAACATTTTAGATGGAAAATGCGATACAGTAACATATCCAACTGTCCTTACATTTTATATTTATATCCTTTTTACCATTAAATGTTTTAAAAGAAACACTACGTAAGGAGTAAGCATTTCAAAATTTTAAGAGCTATCTCATACTTGAAATAATTTAAGAAATACTTCCAAAATACTTCAGGACCAAAAGAAAAGTTAAATCTCATTTACAGTATCACATAAAAATCACAATTCTAGTTAATTGCTTATATTAAATTCCAGTTCTAAGAATCTGAGAGTGTTGGTTTTCAAAATAAATTTATATCTTTATAGGATTTGGTAAACCCAGCTTTCAGACCCACTGATGCCATTTTTAATACAGACGAGAGCAATTTACTCAATAGGAACAAAGAACTGAAGTGGCGCTTAACACACAAGATATTCTCTACAGACAAGTGCAAAACCACTACATTTTGCAGTGACTTTTCTCCCCTTCACAAAGAAATTATTACCTTGTTTAATATTAAGCAGATATTTAAAAAAAACAAGAGTCATCACTCTGCTTAAATTGAGATGCGAGAGTATTTACCAATCATGTCGTACTTTTAAAATGTTGCTGTAATATTGTAGAAAACATTCAAGTGCAACCTTATTAAGCTTATCGCACAATATACTGCCTTTGAGATAGGAATTTTACCGAAGGTTACTAGTTTTAAACCAAAACACTAGTAATCAAGTAACTCAGAGCAAATAAAGTTTGTGAAAATTAGCAAGTCAACTCAGAAACGTATTTTAAGAGGGCAATTATGTTTTCTGCTTAGGCACAATAAACAATAACAGGCCCTGTAAAATCTGTTATAGAATAATACGATACAGAAGCACTGAAAACTTACAAGTGTAGAAAGTTTAGCACTATGTTACACTGGCATTATATAAAAATAGGAAAGTAAAACAAAGCATTTGGGCTAAAAGCCTTTCCAGTATTCACGCAGGCCTGTGATTCAAGATGTCTTTATTTAAGACGCCTCCCTAGAGCTTTATTCGCAGCAAGCAAATTAACATTCAAGTAGGGTCCAGTTGTGGGAGGGGGAGAAAAAGGACAGGGAAAGGAGGTGTCACCTACGTGAAGTTCAGTAACATATATGGTCAATCGCAAACTTATTAAAGCAGGAACACTGCGAACCAATAGAGGTAAAGGAAGTCGAATGAAGAATTAAAGGTCTTGGGTAATTTGTCATCATCTCTCAGAGCTCAGGGTCAATGATCTCTTACCTTCGGGTCGATTTTCTTAAAACTGGGATCTTCTTCATCCACCTCAAAGTAGAGCTCAGAAAGAGTGATGGAAAAGTGCCTTTCCATACTTACG